ATAAACGCAGACATGGCAATTCCGATCGGCCGAGCCGCGCGCGGCCCGGCACGGCGGCCTGAACTTCCATAAAAACGCGGCCCCCTACGAGCCGCCGTAAATTAGTTACCTTCCGGAAACGCGGCTCCGCGGCCGAGCCGCATTTTCATTGCTGGCTCGGCCGCAGCCCGCCGCGGCCAAGCCGCAAAACGGAAGTGGGCTCATTTACATACCCCATAAATCCGTGAATTTCATGCGAAATGGAATGGTAATGAGAAAATTAAGGTTGTCGAATATAATATTTTCCTCGTTAGCACGCTAAAAACCCATTATCTCTCCTGATTTGCGTACCGGAAGTACTCAAAACTCATTTGGATGCGGCCTTAGAGCCGCAGCGGCTCGGCTGCCGTTGTGGCCTCAAAACAGGAAAAAAGCCGCGGCCGCAACGGAAGTGCGGCCAAGCCGCGCGGCCCGGCCGCATCCTAATTTTGCGGCCAGAAAAGCCGCGCGGCCCGGCCGCGATTGCCATGTCTGATAAAACCCACAAACCGCACTAAAGGAAACCACAAAAAAGAGCCATTTCTATTTTCGGGTAGAAAACTTAGACTAATTTTTTATGGTTAGTTTCCATATTCTTTTGAACTCGGCTAGGCTTTGGGCTAGTCAAGTTTGATTCCGATGGCCGCTTCTTAATTTTTCGCCTTATTTTACCAGCTCACACCTTGTCAGCCTAAAAAACTGGTGTAAAAATCGAAGCCGTGATAAGGTGGGCGGCATCGAAGGGGAAAAACGCGAACCCAATAGATAAGACCGCGACGAAAAAGTCGGGGAACACTCCAAAAAAATCACGAAAAATTCCCGCTCAAATTTTTCAGCTTGTGCTGATTCAATTCTTTTACTTGTGACGATTCCGGAAGCAGAAGAATCAGGTAGCAAAAGAATCCGGAATTCAGGTTTTGTCGGACAAGAACCATCCGAAAAAACGGGCAGATTATCTCTCGTTGGTGGGCGATTAATCAAAGGCTTGTTAGGAGGGATGGGAGGGTCAGCACGAAACAAGCCAAAACTGGTCGACTGCAAATCCATAAGCATTATTCTACATCTATCTGTTTTTCTGGCTGTTAATAACAGCTGCAATGGACTATGGCATTGACGTATCGTTAGAAATTCTCCCTAAATACGTGGTGCTCTTGCTTACGTAATAACATGTCTCGGGACGAACCTATAAAGCTATAAAGTTAAAAAATTGGATTAAATTTCATTTTGAAAAATGACATTCTAAGTATGCAAATGGAGTAAAATCTAGCGCTTCTAATGATAGCGATCGCTTGAAAAGCAGAATAGAGAAAAGCTGAAAGATGCTTTTTTTCATGATTGTCCATGTTGTAAAAAATGTCGGTCAATTTGTAATCATTCTGTTTTTTGTAAAGCTATAGCTTGGCAAAGCATGCTATCCTCTCCTAAAAAAATATTGTGGCATTGCAACGTTTTTTCAAAAAAAAAACTGAAAATTTACGCTTTTCCTAGCCTTTTGAGCGACTGTATTTTTTGGGGATTAAAGTAAAGATCAAGCCAAAAGTTGCGTAGATTTGTCTCGTCGACTTCTATAAAATGCGCTAACTTGCGGTCCAAGGGTTAAGCTCGAGCGGGGTCATTTCCTAGTCACCTCCTATATACGCCTCGGGCTAAATCCTCGAATTTTGACCTATTTCGTCAGCCGATTCCATGTCTTTTCCACGCTATCCGTATAGTTCTTCTCATCCGTACAATTGATCTAGTCTGTTCTTGTTTTCCTGCCGGGGAACACGCCTTCCCTTCACACACAGTTAGTGCTTTTTCGATATTGTCTTTCCAGCCTCAGCAAGAAGAAGAAGAAGCAGTGGTTGGCATTATTTGATTGTGTGCCTCTTCCAGTCCCCTGGAAAGAACCACGGTACGACTAATACTACTGACCACAGGCGTACAGTCGCGGAACTGCTAGCGGAGAGCAGAGGAGCACGAGGAAGAGGAGTTCAAGCTCACGATGGAACCGACGGGGAGTCGTGGCGATGGTGGGTTCTTAAAGTTGCGTGATTCTTTGGGGATTTTCGACAGTCTAAAATTTATTTTTTTAGTTAAAACCCTCTTTGAAACTGTAATTTCTAACGCAAAAATTCTCCCCAAGAATCTCTGCCAGCTTGCCATAATTGTTGTTTTTTTTCTGACCGGTACCGGGTCTTCAAAAACGCATATTTGCTCAGCAGGTTTCGGCTTCCACATAGGGTTTCGCTGCGGCTTCTCCACTGGTTTTCCAGTTGGCAAGTTGCTACTGAACTTTCATTTATATTTTGAGTCTTATTTAAGGTTAAAGGGATGGGCAAGCTAAAACCATAGATTTTGTTGGCTGTGGATCGGCGAAAAAAAGGAACCAAATTGGCCCTAAAATTTCGTGTTTTCTCCTCAAGAATCGCTGCTAGCCTGCCACAAAATAAGCGCCGGGAAGCTATCCCACATTCTCTCTGCCAGCATGCCTTTCCGATGCCTTTAAAGGGGTGGACACGACATCGCCATGGAGTTATGGCTACGCGTCTGTACGTAACTCGTACGGCCCTTTTCATGTCGTAATGGGGACGACCAGTCCACAGCGGTAAAGTAGCGTTATCTTGGATTCGATATGGTCTACAAAATCCATATCCATCACTTGTCAGCCCCTTTAAAGTGTCTATTAATGCTTCCTCGGCGCCCAGCTCGCATACAGTCAGCGTAATAGTTTGACAAAAGCCTGCAGGGTAGTGTGACAGGTTGCGCGCTTGTGTTTTTCGGTTGATTGCCTCAAAAGGTGCAATGAGGTGATTTGATTGGTTGACAATTCTCGAGACTCACTCCCTCCTCCTTCTTGCGAAGCCATCGGGGGTATCTACACCCATTTCAAGGACTCCAAAACACTGCCCTTCCATTCCCTCGGCTAAAATTCGCTTTTCCGAATGACGGTCGGGAGTGTGAGGCTCAAATCACATAGTGAGTGTTATTTTTGGGGGTTATGGGGTTATGGGTGGGCTAGCAGAGATTATTTGGGAATCTAGACGATTTTGGAGTCAATTAGCAGAGGTTCTTGAGGAAAGCTAGCAGTGATTCTTGAGGAAAGCTTCAGCAATACCTGAGGAAATAAGATACTCGTGGGGAAAACTAGCAGAGATTTCTGATATAGGGACAACCTGCAGAGATGCTTGAGGGTAACTAGCAGGGATTCTTGGATTAATCTCGAAGAGACTTGTAAGGCCCACTAGCGGAGATTCCTGAAGAAATTATTGGATGAAAGAAGAAAGCTATGATGGGTGCTTGAGGGAAGCTAGCGAAGATTTTTGTGGAAATCAGCATAGATTCCTGTTTTCCTTTCCCTACCTCTTCAAAAACCACCCGAATAACCTTTAACAATCATATCCATGCGATTCCTGGCCGACAAAACGAGTTGCGGTTCCGCGTCGTTGTAGTTTTTTGTGCGCCTCGCCCTCAGTGCCCTCCAGGGGGGCAATTTCCTTTCGCCTGGGTCGGTCTTCGTCGTCCGCACATAACCCATTCATTCCGCCACCATCCAAGTTACGCACAATAGTTGTGCCGCGTACTGTTTTCCCAAATCTGTCTTGCTCCCTTGAAAATAGTTTTAAAGGCACATACAAGGCCTGCTTATGGATTTTCCGCATCAACTAGGCATAGCTCTTATTTTATTTTTTGCAGATTTCGAACGTGAAGAACTATTCGCGGGTACGACGGGCTCGGACGGGGCCTCTGACGGTAATTTCTTCAGACGGAATGGAATATTCTATTTTTTTTAGTCCCTATGAAGCGCCCCCTACTTACCGTATGCCGGGACTTCGTCTACCGGCGACTCCCGTTTGCTAAATGGTTCCCGGAATACCGTATCTCACAAGATTTACCGGGTGATTTTGCTGGAGGATTGACGATTGGCATTATGCATATTGCTGAGGGTATATTTCGCGTTGGGCAAGCTTGCAGAAATCCTTTAGGAATGGCCTACGCTCCGTTGGCCGGTGTAAGACCGGTGAATGGTCTATTTTCCTGCCTATTTCCTGCCCTATTCTACATGCTATTCGGGACATCGAGACATGTTTCTGTTGGTGAGTTTTTGTGGATATTTTGAAGAAAGCTAGCAGAGATTCTTGTGGAAATTAATTTGGGGTTTGGAGGAAAGCTAGCAGAGGTCCTTGAGGAGCGTTAGCGGCGTTTATTTAGGCTTTAGCTCTTAGCGGCTTGGGTAAGCTAGCAGTTTTTCTCTGTAAAACAATTTTTTTAATATTTGAATTTAGGAGGTTTCGCTGTAATTTGTCTAATGACCGGCTCGGCAACGACTCGAGCGACAGAACAGCTGATGGCTGGCATGAATGTGACGGCGGCGGACGAGCCGAAAATACGCGAAAATTTGGCCATACAGATTACGGCTGCTCTTACAATGTTTATTGGTTTTGTACAGGTTGGAAATAAACGAAAAATTATGTAGAAACAACCCATTTTTTAGATCCTCCTCGGCATCTGCCGTCTCTATAAATTGACGCCATTTTTGAGCGATCAGGTCAGTTAAAAATTTTGTAAATATCGGCGGAAATAAATATTAACAACACTAATAAAAAAACACTATGTAAGCACTAGATTCTTCATATTAATAAAGATAATTAATTTATCTAGGTAATTGCCGGGTTCACCACCGGAGCCGCCGTGCATGTGATGACGTCACAACTCGACAAAGCTCTTGGCGCCTCGATTGGATCGCATAATGGGCTGGGAAAGTTATTCTTTGTAAGTAGCATAATAAATATCTTTGTAAAAATCCTATTTTACCCTTTTTTAGTATATTTAATAACCTTTCCGTAGCCCCCAACTCGAATTGCGCAAAAAAAACTCTTCATTTGACAGCTGCCAATTCTGACACCCTCTCGTGGGCGCTGGGGGCCCTGTCTCTTCTCTCCCTCCCCCACCCCTCGCCCCATGCAGCGATGTCCGAGTGGTTAAGGAGATTGACTAGAAATCAATTGGGCTCTGCCCGCGTAGGTTCGAATCCTGCTCGCTGCGAACTTTTTGCTTTTTGGAAGGGGATCGCGATTTCGGAACCTTGACCTCTGCCGGTTATTAGAAAACGTCGTTCCTTGTGCATTTTTTCGTAATATTGGTAGCATTAACCGGTCGCACAAAAGACTGCCGTTGATGCGATCATCCCACAAAGCATTTCGAAGATTAAAAATGCGCAAAAAACTAAAAATAAAGATTTTCAGATCTACCGTGACATCGTCGCCGCCCTATCACAAGGCAGATTTCACCTAATCACAGCTTGCATCGGCTGTTTCGTCGTCTTTTGCCTGTTTTTCATCAAAAATTGGATCGATCCAAAGTTGCGCAGCTGGCTGAATATTCAGAAGCCGTTGCCCTACGATCTTTTTGTGGTAAGTTTTAGGCAAAAAACATCCTATTTCGGAATCATATTCAATTATGATCAATTTTAGATGGTTCTCGCCACATTCTTCAGCTCCTATTTTGCCCTGCACGCAAAATATGGAGTGGCGATCATTGAGGATATTCCTACCGGGTCTGTTAATGCTTTTCTGGGCCAGCTAGCAGAGCTTCTTTGTGGAAAAAATTATTGATTAAGCCTTTATCAGAACCTAATGGTCTCCAATATTTCTTTAGAGCTAGCAGCTAGCAGAGATTTTTGCGGAAAATTTTTAACTTTTGAGGATTTAGCCTTCACCAAGGCCTGATCGATCCCGATGAGATGCAGTAAAAATTTTCAGCATTTTTGCGTGAATTTACGTTGAAAAATGCCGATCCTACTTTGTTCTGGGCCCCAAAAAAAGCACTCTTTTGGAAAATCACTATAAAACTAGTAAAAATAGCTTTTTTTAGCCTGCCCTCCGCGAAGTTGCCGGAACTCGGCCTATTCCCGTTATTGGCTTTGGACAGTGTATCCATCGGAATAATTATTCTTGTTATTCACCTCTCGATGGGGAAGCTTTTCGCGAAGAAGCACACATATCCGCTCGACATGGAGCAGGTCAGCGCTTTCATAAGGTTTTTTTTTATAGAGAAGACACGCACCGCGCACGCGGTTTGGTCACCACTAACCCGTAGTATTCCGTTACGTAACCGGAAGACGAGCGTGTGCGTCGCGTGCCACAGACGCGCGAAAGTTTGCAGCGAACCCACAGATCTGAAAGCATATTTGGATTTTTGTATTTTTTAAATACTGGTTCATATTCAATATTTATTTTTGGCCCTTGTCAATCAATTTTATTATGAGTTTTATGCCGTTACCTACGCCAATTCCAGGAGTTCTACGCCACTGGCCTCACCGAGGTTCTCTGCTCGTTTTTCCCAGTCTATCCCCCATCCACATCGTTGGGTAGAAGCCTGGTTGGAGAGGTGAGGCAGTTGACTGGCTTTACTTCGTTTACCAAGTTAGCTTGGCTTACTTTTAGACCTTTTTTAGTCAGCCGGCACTCGAACCCAACTCTCAGCTGTGTTCTCATCTTCCCTGGTGCTATGCGTCATTCTATTCCTCGGCCCACTCCTCGAGCCGTTGCCTACGGTAATTGGCAATTTTCCTGGCAACAAACTTTTCAGTGCGTTTTGGCAGCCATCGTCATTGTTTCCCTCCAAGGGATGTTCCGCCAACTGGGCCAGGTCCCGCAGTTGTGGCGGGTTAATCGGATTGATTCGGTGAGTTTTAAAGGTGTTGGGAAGGCTAGCTTCTACAGAAAAAAAGGGATTTGTTAGAAAATGTTTGCTATCGTATTTTTTATCTGTCATCGGAATTAGCGACAGAGAGCGAGAGAGAGAGAGAGAGAGAGACAGCGAGCGAGAAAGAGACTGGATATACCATTCCAGGCAGTCTTCATGGTCACCTTCCTAGCTACCGTCCTTGTCGGCATTGTTCCTGGGCTCTGCATCGGCGTCATTTTCGTGCTCGGAACCGTTATATTCCGTAGCAAAAAGTCAGCTTACAACGATTTCCTAGAGTCTAAAATTCAGGGCGAAGCTGACGTGCGAGGTGGAGACGGCTCCAAAACAATGGTAGGTTTTGACAATTTAATTATCACTTTAACAATCTATAAAAAGATAAAGCTATATAAAAAATTGGGAATTTCAGTCCAACTCGAGCGGATTGTCAATTGGTGTTGACCTTTACCTCCCCGCTGATCTTCCTCAACGTCGAGCAGTTCTGGAGGAATTTGAGGAAACTTTTGGATCGGGCTGCTAGGTAAGAATTGGCTAGTTATACCTCGAAAACAAAAATCATTATATTATTATCAGTATCGTAATTTTATTTATGCGTCGCTAAAGTACTCCCAAATTTTAGCGAAAAAGCCCCACATTCGATCGTTTTCGATCTGCATCTCGTGACGAATATCGATACAATGGGCGGCAATGCTATTATTGAGGTAAACTCGCTTTAAAATTGAATTTTTAATTTTTTTTGCTGTTTTAGATGTTTTTAACGATTTTATCTGATCAATCAATATCCATTATTTATAATATTCATTAAGCCATTTCAGGTACACGACTACTGCCAAAAACACGGGTATATCGTCCATTTTTGCCGGGCTAACGGTGAGTAGTTTTGTAGAGAACTTTTGGGGAATTTGCAAAATGCCGACAACGGAACGCCAGTCACAGAAAATGCCGAAAATTCGAAATTGCAAAATACTGGCCAAAAATAATACAATAAAAAAATTGAGATTTCGAAATTGCATGTCTTAGGTTTGCTGGCATCCGGAATGTCGGCATTTTTCTATCGGAATTTTCGCTGTCGGTATTTCAGCGGTCGACATTCTGACCAAAATCAAATGTCTTCAACCAGTTCATTCTCAGAAAAAGTGCTGCGCCTTCTCAACCGTATGGAGCAGTTTGAGCGGATCTCGACAGCTTTTTGCTGATCTTCGGTTTTTGGTGTACTTTGTAGTTGAAAACTATAATGTGCGGTGCACCCTAAATAAATGTATTTATTTTGATAATATCTACGACGAGATCAAGGGGGAACGCGAGGTTACTATCGACAAAAAATTGTAATAAAAATATGAGGATGATAGTGGACTGGTAGATAAAACCCGTAAAAAACTTGTTCAAAAAATCAAATAGATTTTTATGAGCAGAAATGTTTCAGGGAGCTTTAAAGGGACTATAAAGTGAAAAATTCTGATTATCAAAAAACTGCAAAATCCCGACAGGCAAAATCTCGACAGTTGAAGTTTAAGGGCCAAAATCCCGACTGGGCAAAATAGATGTTTTCAAAAGGAAATGGCATTCAAACTCGCCTAAAGAACATGTCGGCATTTTGGCCTGTCCGTATTGTCATTGTCGGGATTTTCGCGTTTTCCCCAGGTCAATCTAGACACTTTAAAGGGGCTGGCAAGGCAAGCGTTTTTGCGGTATGAATTATTACGCAATGGCCCGGCCGAAAAACGGCCGTATTCAATTACGCAATGTAAACACAGGTAGGCGATTGCGATAAAATTCATAAAAAAATCCATAACTACGCCAGCCTTGCCGGTCCCTTTAACCCGACCTTTCCCTAAATTGGCAACGGACCCAGGAGGGCATTTGTCGCTTCAGAAATAAAAGAGACAAATGGGGTGGTGGGCATCGGAGGGAGACCGTTGGGGAGACAATTCGGTATTGTTGAATTTGTGCAGTTGAATTGAGGGTTTTCATGGGCTGGGGTATAAACCCGTTCCGGCCGGTAGTTACGATCACAGATGGATGAGCGGGGATTTGGGGGTCGTCGACACGCGGGAGTAGGCATTTCTGGAATGGACGCATTAATGGGCGGACTGGCTAGCGGAATTTATGTGGGAATGGATGCGTGAAGTATAGTTCCAATTTGCTACCATAAAAATCTTTATATGTCCCGCGCTCGTTTACTCTCACGCTCTCCCTCTCTCACCCTAATCGGATGAAACCTACTCTCAATTTTGACAGCTGCCGATTCCGGCACCCCTGCCCTACCTGCCCCCTGTCTCTTCTTCTCCTTTTCCCCTACCCATCCCCCATGCAGCGATGTCCGAGTGGTTAAGGAGATTGACTAGAAATCAATTGGGCTCTGCCCGCGTAGGTTCGAATCCTGCTCGCTGCGAACTTTTTACTTTTTGACCGAAGATTATGGAATCACCAACCAAAGACCCTGGTTTTTATGGAAATCGTATTTTCAAGAGCTTTTTAACGTTTTTTCGCCTTGGTAAGATTTCCTACCTTTTCCCCCAGCGGGTACGGGATGAATGGGTGCGGCTTGATCATATGAGTATCGTCCATATGTGGTAGAGAAGGAGCGATTAGCATTTCTGAAAAAATCAGATTTTGAGAGGCCGAAGAAGGAGAGAATGAGAGCGAGAGAGAGTGAGAGAGAGAGAAATAGAGAGTTCGACCAGTCTCGGCTTACCATTCTGCTGCCAATGGTTGTCCAGTGAAGGAAGTTCCGGGAAATGCGGCAAGAATGGAGGGCATGGCATTCCGACTGAAATTGTTATTTTAAAGGGACGAGAAAGGGAGATATCGACGGATTATCCAGAAAGCCTACAATTCCCAGTATACAGCCCTCCACAAGACACCCATTCCGGGGTGGTCCACTGCATGACGTCCGGCATTCTGGGTAGCATTTGGTGATTTTCTTCGTTCCAGGTTGGCTGAAAACGGTTCGCTAGGTGTTTTTAGTTCCAAAATGATCCCTGATAGTTGACCCCTGGGCTACCTGCGGATTTATCTGTTGTATGGGCGGTATCCACGTCTGCTCCAACACCACAGCTTTCTGCTCCGAAATTTCCGGTTGACCCTGGCCATTTGCGGCTTTTGCCTTCCGTTTCCGCGTGACGGGCAGTTGGATGGGGCTTTTTGAGGCGGAGGAGGAACGGCTGGAATTAGGAAACTCCTAAATTCTCTGCTATCAACTTACGTGGCTTCTGAACGGCTCGTTTCTTCATCCGGAGATTCACGGCTCGTTGAAGGGACACAAATTGATGGTAGGGCAGCAGCTGACTGAAAATTAAAACGATGTACGCGGAGCTCCAAAACCCGACCTGTAGATTGCGAGGGGGATTGGAGGAGTGAGTCGTCGAATGAGAGCAGCTTGGCCTTGAGGGAGGAGCGCTTTTCGAGGAGCATCGTTCCCTCGACTTCGCTGTAAAAAAAATTATGGAGGCATTTATGAAAATTTGGTATCTGTTGTATTGGTAATGTTTTAGCTTATCACCCAGAGGATCCTGGTTCGATTCCGTGCGGTGCTTTTCTTTCTTTTTACCAAATTTTTCGGAGAATACGATACTTTCCCAATTACGGAACTACGGAACTTAACAGATTACAACCTACGGGAAAATATGGAGCTCTACTTCGAAGCACGGTACTTTTCAAAAAACGGAAAATTAGACGGTAAGGAACTTTCCAAAGGACGGTACTTTACAAATATGACGAGTTACGGTACACTCCTGACAAAATACGATATTTTATTGGATAAGGTACTGTACAGAGTACTATATCGGCTAAAATACGCAATTTTACAAACTACAGTAACGCACAAAATTAAAGTCTTTGTAAACGACGCTACTTTCCATATTGCAGCACTTTCCCATTCCTTACTTGAGTATCCGATGCGTCAACGCTATCGAGTCGGCCTTGCCGTTTTTGAAGAACATCCGGCACGAGGATTGGACGTAGTAGAGCCGCCCGGATTTTTGGGCGGACAGTCGGTAGATGAGCAGCCCCGAGGAGCCGTTTTTCACTACTAAAAAAGAGGGCATTTAGTTTATAGGTAGATACCTTCTTTATGAGCTTCGGCCAGGCAAATCGCATCTTCTGGGTGTACCAAACTGTAGAACGGGGTCGGGAGCTCGTTCTCGGAGAGTTCGAGCAATTCGTGGAGCCTGAAAGAAGCCGCTTTTAAGTGTTTTTAGGTAATTATGACTTCACAGTCCTTTGAAAATAAAATTACTTACCTCGGGTCCATGCTAACGAGGGTGCAATCGAGTTGGTGTTTGGATTTTAGGATCGTGTCTTCGCTAGGTAGCTCGCCATTGTTTGGAGGGACGAACGGGCTGAAAAAAATGCACAATTTTTCCACCTATGGTAAATTAATATAGTTTTAAATCAAAAATTTACGGTTAAAGGCTTAATTTGGCAAAAATCAAAAAGTTTGACGCAGGTTGGATTCGAACCTGAGCCTCTAGCTTGATAGGAAGAGCGCTACCCAGTTGGCCATAATAGGCGCCAATTTGGCATCAATACCGACAACCAAAATGCCGACAATTAAAAGGCCTTCATGCCAAAATCCCGACAAACGAAAACCCGACAAGCTAAAAACTAATCGTAAGCCGAGATTTACGGCTGTTAATATTCTTGACTGTCGGGATTGCGGTTATAGATATTTTTCCATGTCGG